TATATATATGTTTTACGTACCTTTTTCAGGGCCACGGAAAATGATTGAAATTGGTGGGAAAGCAGTTGATTATAATAACAATTTCCGACTTTATCTCTGTTCGAAAAATTATTTGCAACATATGGATTCGACTTGTCAAGTAGCTCTCACCATGATATGCTTTACTGTTACACAAACAAGTCTCGTTTCCCAAGTTATTTTTACATGTCAATATTGTTAAATTTGGCTTTAATCTGTGCATATATTTTTGAAATATGAATGTGGAAATATTGCAAATAACTACAGTTTTGTTTCGTTCCAAAGAAATGTGAAAAGTATTTTTGCAAGACTGCTGTTTTACAAGTGAAAATTACGTGATAACTATAAATTCTTGGTGTTATTAGAAAATTTTAATCATTTGCGGTCACATACAGTAGCTTGGACCGAGATAGGGTATTTTAAAATGACTAATTAAACCGTTTTTGTAAAATGCTGCTTTCAATTTATAATTTCGTTTGTTCCAAAGAAAATATGAATGTATGAGTTTTTGATTGTTTTCAATTTCTGCTTTATGCAGATTCTTAAACTCACTCTAAAAATCGAAAAACCCGAATTGGAAAGTCGATTAGTTGAATTGACGAGCCAGGTGGAACAGATGAAACTCAAGCTTGATTATACAGAGGAATCGCTTCTGCAGGTAGACTGATAGTTTCTGTTTCTTGAACTTTTGCAAATAAGTTGTTTGCAGGTGAATGAATTGTTTATACAAGTTCTGCACTGACATGTTATTTTCATGAACATTAATGTTATATGAATTTTATTTATGACTGTAGTTTTCACAGAATTTTCATATTTTCTAAATATTCATCAGAATCTTGTTTTTGATTTCAATCCCACCGACTCTGCAACGTGTTACATTACAATATCATATTTATAGCTTTTTCAATTCGCCATATCCCTTTAATTTCTTCAGGCCTTGGTTTCTTCAGAAAAAAGTTTGTTAAATAATGTAGATTTGTTGGATTCATTGAATAAAAGCAAAGAAAGTGCTGAGATCATCGCCAATTCATTAGCTGAAGCAGATATTCTCCGAAAACAATTTATTAAGGTTTTATGTCCATATTAATAGCAAAATTGGCATAGTTTATTTTATTTTAAAAGATTTCTTTCGAAATTTTTACATTATGAAGTGTTTAGTTGGAATCGCATATAGTAATTTACACAGTTTTATATAATAATTTTCAGGAAAAAGATATATACAAGCCGTTAGCACAGGCAGCAAGTGACTTGTACTTTATTATTCAAGATTTAAGTAAACACAATCCGATCTATGATTTTACTATCAGCAGTGTTCTTACTGTTTATAGTCGTACAATTAAGAAAGTAAAAGTATGCTATTTTAAACTTTTTTGAATGACAAGACTTCTGACATTCTCGTACTTATTATTTTCAACTGTTTTGAAAATACTTTAACTTTCTTTATGCCTGCATCATGAGACGAATCAAAAAATTGAAAATTACTTTCTATTCAAAGAAAGAGCGAAAATTAGTAAGTGTTCAGTTTGTATTTTTCAGTAATTACCGGAAGTAGAGGTAGATTTTAAAATAGTGATGGTCAATTTAAATTTAATTATGATTTATGCCATGGATTTGGTTCATCTCCTCTACTTCTCAAAAAATGAAAGAAATTCCATCTTTAGTTGAAGCTAATATTCGTTAATACTTTATGTCACTTTAAGGGAAATATCGATGTACCAGAGCAGTTTCCAGAGCTTCTAAGTACACTTCAACGTTCAATTCATCAATACGTATCGCGTTCACTGTTTAAGAAAGATCGCTTAATGTTTTCAATGCAATTTATTCATGGAATATATCCATCTCTTTTTGCCTATAATGTTATTCTTTTTTAAATTATTTAAGTATTCATTTTTGAAATGAGTAAAGTCAAAAAGGAAAGTATCTGATTCCCTATCTTAATACTTGAAATATGCAGCTGATAATTTGATCTTGTAATTTGTTTTTGAAATTCTTACTACATAACAATTTTATTAATAGACGAATATGACTTTTGAGATCATTTTATGAACACAGTTTTGCATATATCTCTTTTAGTGTGAACTATTGTACTGTTATTATTAGACACTTTCAAGTTCGTGAAATTAATATTTTTTCATTATTTAGGAATGGGAATTATTTACGGGTTTACTGGTCGGTGATCTCACTGTCCATGCCATTAGAGGAATCGATTGGGTCGGTAGTAAACAAATGACAGCTGTCATCAAATTACAGGTAAAACAGACGAATTTAATCTTGAAATTGAAACGCTCATTACGAGCAGACGTAGTGTAAATATCAAGTTGATTTTATCAGAAATGTTTTTTTCTATCGACAGTTGAGTACGAGGAAGGTTTGCAATTTTACAGAAGCATCTTCCAACATTATATGAGAATCTTCGTCTGAGCGATCAAGGGCTGTGGAGTGAGTTTGCTCGCTCGGTAAATTGCGAAACAGTGTTTCCTCCGGCAGTTGATGCTGTAATAACGCCATTCCAAAAATTGATCGTTATCCAAACCATTCGACCGGAAAGATTGCATTCTGCTATGGTGGCTTTTGTCAGTAAAACATTAAGTTTGTTATTATCAAATAATTTTGTATATATCATACTACAGAAACAAAAAATTGGCACTGATACTTTATAGATGTGGCAGCAGTGAATCCACCTCCACTCAACTTAAGATCGATTTTCAAATCAGAAAGCAGTGAAAATGAACCAATTTTAATATTTGTTAGCACTGGAGTGGATCCTTCTGAAGTATCAATTTTCAATTTTTAACTTTGTTTTGAGTAAAAAAAAAATTGCACATAAAAGTTAACATATTTACCTTGCATTAAATTTTCATTGTCTATATCTGTTCAGAAAAACCATACAAACTTCATAATTCTGTGCATTTGTTCCCCATTTCTAATGTTTAATTGTATATTGTAATGAACATTCAGGTATCTTAATTCTAGGAACTGGAAGAGTTGGTCAGAAATGAACGATTGGAAGCTAAATTCCATCAAATTTCAATGGGTCAAGGACAGTGTGAAGCAGCTCTTACAGCTATCCGAACGTGCGCTAAAAATGGAGGTTGGGTGTGCCTGAAGAATGTTCATCTTGCGATTAATGATTTAATGGCTGTTGAGAAGGTAAAAAAGTAATCTTCCAGTTCGTGTGAATCTCTTGTAACGAATTCATGTTGAGAAATTCATCGCAGTTTATTGCAATCCCATGATAATGCTTGAAAGTTTTTCTTTATTTGAATTGTTTCTCATTAATTTCAGGAGTTTTTGTTATCAAAACGCGTTCCCAGCTTTCGATTGTGGTTAACTTCAGAATCGACGGAAAATTTGCCACTGCAATTAATACAGACGTCTTTAAAAATTATTTATGAGTCACCACATGGTATGAAGAACAATATGAAATTAATTTATTCTGAATGGCAGAATTCTGATCGTATTTTCGGTGCTGCATATTTGCAAACTTTATTCTTTTTGGCTTGGTTACATACAATTCTGCAGGAACGACTAATGTTCATTCCTCAAGTAAAGTTCATTTGATTTAATAAAAGCTCAAAGAAAGAGCATCTAAAAATTTCTCGACATTTATAAAAGTTATTGATATTTATCCACGAAAATAGGCATAATTTTTGATTCCTTACAAATTCCTCTAAACTTGTGATGCAATAATTCTTTTTGAATAGAAAAATAAGTTTAAGGATTGTATATATCCAGTGCTGAAGGTAAGTTTTCGTTTTTACATTGTTAAATGTTTGAAATTTGTATATGAATCGTATTTTGCATACCAAAGTAGTAAGTTGTATGTAAGTAATCTGCCTCTTCTCATCAAATTAAGCATTTTATTTCATGTTTAGGCTTGGCTGAAATGCTACGAATTTAGCGACAGTGATTTGCGAGTAGCGAAGAAATTTGTTGAAAGATTCATTAAAGGGAACGGAGGTTGATTTCTAAATTTTGAACGAATTTTACACCACCAGTCAATTATTGTGAAGCTTTAAAAAATGAAATTTACTTCTGAATAATAGATAACAATTTTGCTTGATATATATTGTTTTCAAAGTTTTAGTGCTTTTGAAGCAACCAAATGTAAGCTTTAAGAACGCATTTTTTGAACATACTTCACTTTATTTGGGTACAGATTTATTTTTTGATATCGTACTGTCAGACGATATTCTATATTTCTTAATTTTATTACTTTAAATGAGTTTTTATTTGAGATTTCGATTGGTCATTACTGCGTGGCCTTATCGAAATTGTTGCTTACGGTGGACGTATCGACAATGATTTTGATATTAGTATTTTGACAACATATTTGAAACTCTATTTCAATTCTTCCGTGATTGGCGCAAATAATTATGAGATTGCTCAAAATATTCTAGTCCCATTTTCAAGCAATATTATGGTATATTTACAGAATCGTTGCATGAACTCTAATTTTGTCAGTGATTTCGGATAGATTTTTGAGCGCATAAGGATTTACTGAAAAAAAAACTGTGATAAATCAACCCCATAATGATTATGTCGAGTTGTTTGTTGCATGTAGGATTATATCGATGTAATTGAGAAAATACCAGAAGAAAACAGTTCTGTTCTACTCGGCTTACCTGCAAATATCAGTACTACTCGCTTAATTACTGAAGGACAAGAAACAATCTATAAAATCCGTAATCTACAGATTGTTAATGCTGAAGACCTTGCAACTGACAGGTGGTACAATTTTCATTAGCTGCTGATGTTTAATTTCTGTACAATATGATGATCAATTTTTGTACGTGAAAGTCAGATTTCTTGGAAGAGAAAGTTCTGATATTTAAGAATAACTTCTGGTTAGCTGTTATAAATAAAATTACTGTTAAAATATTTTCTTTCTATGGGGGTTTGTCAAAAAAGTGAGAATTCAAAAATACGGGGTAAGATTATATTTTCTATCTATTTAAATTGAAAAAAGAAACTAATGTTTGCTAGTACCGACACATTTAGTGGTTATCAAAAACATGATCGGATGAAATGAACTGTAAATTTTAAACTAATGACTTTTGAAATATTTTTTTAAGTAGATTACAACAGTATAAAAGTAGAAACATATTTCTAGTTTTTTTTTTCACTATTTATTTAAATGTAGATGAATGCAACTTTTCAAAAGCTCTTTATATCTTTGTAGAATTTTATTGTACATAAAGTACGGCTTAAAATCTCAGTAAAAAACTGAAGTAAATGATATATAAAGTCTGAAAGTTAAGGAATGAATGGAACAAATTACTGGGTCCAATCTTATCGCTTTGGAAACGACTAATTTCTCACTCAGCATTGCATTCCATGAATAAACGATCATTACAGCATACTGATGACCTTATTTTAGAAATCATTTCCTTGGAATACGGATATGCAGTAACAGTGGTTTGTTTAGCGTTAACATTGTATTTTTTTTTTTTGATCGCATTTGGGTTTCCATTGATAACTTCAGTAAAATTACATACAAACTTCTAACAAATCAAATTTCAGATCCAAAATGTTCACATATATCTTGCAGCCATAAGCAGATGTCTACGTGGCAATCAACCACCTTCACCTAATGTTTTAAATGGCATAAGGTCACTCATGTTGCATGAGGTCAGTACTTCAATTACTTTTGCTAAGAAAGACATTTCATTTTCAGTTGGTATCTAAAAACAAAATATTAAATGAATACGATATTAATTTGTCAATGTGTTGCGTTATAAAAGTCCTATTTGATACTCTGTTTAAATTATTTTCAGACACCAAAAGAATGGCAAGAAGTTTGGCAAGGACCACAAGATCCTGTTCAATATTTAACCCTTCTTGTGCAAAAGGCAAATTCCGTAAATGAATTATCGCGAATTAAGGATAGTCGTCTCATATTAAGTGCTCCTATTAAACTTGGCACAGTTTTTCGACCTATTAACTTCTTTAATGTGCTACGACAACTAACTTCAAGGCTAGTTTTGAATTAAAAATTTGTTTTTTTCATACCAACATTTTTGTATTGGTAAGATTGGATTTTCGAATTCTTTTTCTTATGTGTAGTTTCATTTTTTGACTTCGACAATTCTCGCTAAATATTTTAGGGAAAAAAATATAACAATGGATCGACTGAAATTATCTACTGCATGGAATGCTGCACTTTTTGAAGATAAAACGTATATACTAGAAATATCCGGAATTTGTATTCAAGGAGCACTGTTTGAAAATTATATCGTTGAAACTGAGCAAACATCCCCTTCTGTCACAGTGGCACCAAATCTGTTTATTGCATGGATTCCAGTTGTGAGTCTGATGCAAATATTTGTTTCCAATGAAAAAGATTGGCTTGTCAGCGTCACGAGTTGTAGTACGATATTTTATGACTAAACTCGATGAAAGTACTGATTTCAGTCTAGTAAATGGGATTACCTACTGCATTCATTGTTTTCGTCTGACTATTTTTGAAACATCATAAAATTATTTTTAGGATGCACCAGATGTGTACAAAAGCTATAATTCAGTGTCGGTTCCTCTTTATGCTACTCCTGAACGAAATGAATTTATCGCCAAAGTCCAGATACCTTGCACAAATCCGGAACAGTGGATTATCGCTTCAGTTGCTTTGTTTTTATCGAATTAGTTAATAATTATTCTGAAGGTTCATTGTAGTTATAAAAGATAATGAACATGAGGGCAAAGTTTTAACCAGCTTTAGAAGTGTAATAATTTGAGTTTGATATGATGGATTGTTTTTACTCAACAAAGAAAGAAATGTAAACTTGAAATACTTATGTGAGAAAAAATTTAAATTTGAAGTTTTTTTTTAAATCATTAAAAACTGAATTTCTTTGACAATTAAGCAATACCATTTTAAAAATGAATGATCAAAGCTTATTTGGTTTTCGGTTTTATTCAAGAATGAGTATTTCATTTTATCAATTTATATTATAGTTTAAAGGAAACAAACTTGCAACAGCAATATGCGTTTCATCATTTCAGCCGCAAAATAGCTTACTTTCTTGTTTTCTGTTCCCAAGTGGTAAAGGTAAGATTCTGCATGGGAAATGACATGCAACTTTACATAATTCAAGGTAAAACAATTTCTCCCTTGCTATATTTTCTACATCTGTTATATTATTCCAGCAAATTAGAATTTTGACCAAAAGAAAGTGCAAACAAAGCTAAACTAAACTAAAACTTGGTGTTTTTGTTTTTTCAGAGCTTTCAGTGTTATGTAAATCCGAAACTTTCTGTTTTCTCTTGAAAAGTAAGTGGAATTTAGAATATTGACAGAGTCATCGATATTCTATGCTATCCCACCATAAATATCATCTGCCATTATCACCTTCCATTTGTAACGCCTACTCCAAATACTACTCTTCGCTGTTATGTAATTAGATCTTGTAACAAGAGAATCGTTTCATCTTGTTAAATAAAACTGAGAACTCGAAAGCGAAAACCTAGTTTTCGTGTGTCGGTACCTGCAATTTGTAACTAGCAGAAAGTCCTGTTCTTTGTTGATATTTTAAAGGCGCTATTACTGTCTTCACATATTTTTGCAGTCTCTTATGCTTACTCTGATTTTTAATTAATTAACGCAGATAATTCTAGTACTCTGAGATGCATGTCAATGTTGAACATCTGGAAACAGTTTTTCACTTTTCCGACAGTTAAAAGAAATGAAAAGGATGCTCTATGCGAATGAGAGAAAATAAATCTGTAGCGATTATGCACACAGAATATATTGAATACAAGGAATCAATTCTTTGATTTCAAGATCTGTTCATTTGAAAATTATAATTGTTCCTATCTGTAGATGCAATAGAAAAAAAATGTATTTGATTAGTTTTACAAAGTTTCAAATGCAATATTGTTTGCATTATTAGTAATTATATTTTAAGCACAGTTAAAAAAACTTTTGCACCAAGAATGTTTTTGCTGGCATCAAGTTGTAATTACAGGTAGTGCAAAAACTGAACACATTTACTTAAACTCTACTTTCTTCTTGTGGCTAATAATACAATCATTGCTGGTAGAATGAATAAAATGTGCATTCTATTCACAACTCAATGTTATATCGTATAAGAAATCTGCTTGTCTTTAAAAAATGAATGCAGATATGTTATTACCTTTTATAAGCAACGTAAAATTAAATGAAGAAACGGTGTTAAATACACGACTTGACATTGTCTGACATAACGAGATTTTGATACAACAACGATTTAGTCATTTTCTCATTTTTTATTTGCTATTTAAACAGTGATGAGCAAGTGTAGAAAAGCGTTATAGATGAGAAATTTTCGGTGTTTGGGTTTGTGTAGCTAAATGTTGATTGTAAGAAGTGAGGAACTGGATTGAGATTTTGAAATTTTGATGATAAATGTTAGATATTTTGAAAAAATTTGTAAAAGTTTATATGAAGTGTCGAGATATTCTCTGCTACCATTAAATCAAAAATTATAAAAATTTTTCAATGTGTTCTTTTGAGTGATTCGTAAGTTCAAAGCTAAGGATTTTCATTAAACTAGTTCGACAAAATATAAAACAGCAAAAAGATTGATAAAACTTGATTATCAAGTAAATGCCATGCTATGAAAATAACTTGTGAAAAAAAACTTAATAGCAGTTTATTATTATTCAATTCATATCATTTAAATAGCTTTCAAAAATTAGATCTGAAAGGGTGTTTAAAGCAATAATTTCTACAATCCCAAAAACACGTGGTTTGCTAATTTTTGACAAATAATAATCGTAGAACAAATTATCCAAGAAATAAATCTCTATCGAATTCTAACCTACGAAAAATCACATCGAAAAAATATAAGTCAGAAAAATTATATCAGAAAAAGCTGGATTAAATACTGGTCCCTGCTATTTAGAAGCTAAGGATGCAACAGATTATACTGTAATTGTTCGAAATGCTCCAAGCAAAATGTTTCGATAATCCAATACCCAAATTGTACGAACAGTGACCCGCTGTAAGCCATTAAAAATATCATATAGCAAATAGTATTGAACATTGTTTGTTCTCGAAATAAACTTTCTGCTGAAATATATTTTTAGAAGCAGCGAGTTAATTTTATTAATGTGCATTACAGAAATTGTATTGTAAAAAGATTAAGTTCCTAAGACTGCACGAAAAGAACAATAGTTTCAAGAATTAAATGAAAAAATCAGTATTAATGAAATTGATTGAATTAAATGTTCCCAAAAATTTGAAAGCAAAATACTAAGGTCATATAAGTTAATGTGACTGTATGTAAATACTTGGACTGAAGATTTCTGTTTTTTTAACTTGATAATGGCGAAAATGCGTGGAAAATGATATCAAATCAGAAGCTGAGACAGTAATCACTAAGACGTCATTAAAATTGAGCAACTAAAAACCGAAGTAAGACAGCAATTAAATGAACTATTTGAGAAAGTTTAATTCGTACGCCATGCTTTTATGATTGAAGTAAAACTATTCATAATATATATCCACAGCTATTTTTGATAATTTAAGCAAGATTTTTCATGATATCAAACTCTTCGACAACAGTGAATGATCTCGACGGTTTGAGTTATGAGAAGGAATTTTTGTTCAAAGGAAACAAAATGTGCCAAAATTATAAATCAAAATTATAAATCGTATGAGAAACAACCGATTTTAAAACATCAATGAAATGCTGATGAAAAGAACACTATTTGTCAGTGAATAAGCTTGGATTGAATTGAGCGACTTGCTGCCACTAACGACTGTTGAGTAGGCATTAAAAATTTGTGCATGTAATGAGTTCTAAGTTTTGCCTACATCGAAACAAAAATTTAAATTCAAAGGAAGAAGAAGATTTCAATGCTAAGCTTCTTCATTTGAATTTAAACTTAGCATTGAAATCTTCTAGCATTGAAATTGAAGATTTAATCATTAAAATGATTCTTAGCCATGTTATCATAATTCTTGACTTTACGACAAAGAAAAAGTGATAAATTTCGTTGTCATGCAGTAAACAGCAATCTAAATTTAAACCTACGCCCTTCACGACTGGTTTCGATATTGAACAGAAGTAAGCAAAAATCTAAAATCACAAGGACTTTTTCAGAAGTATTCTTGGTATTGTTAAGACTCTTTAATATGAATCAAGCTTGAAATCAAGAAATAATACAAATCAAGAAATTATACAATGAGAACCATATTTAGTATACTGTTGCACTTTTCAAGCAAATGTAGTAAAAGTGATAATAAACCGAATAAAAAAGAAAATCCATTTTAAGTCGTCGATAATAAGAAAGGACAAGAAATGCTATGGAAATAATAAATAAGGAAACATTAATAAAATGATGCAATACTTCAGAAAAGAAAGAGAAATGAATGATATTTCGGTGTGCTACAATTGGGCGATGTCTAATATTACACAAGTCATGAAAGGAGAAAAACATGAGAAAACAATTTAGAAGAGCTATTTTCAATAAAATTACTCAAATGCATTTGGTTAATTCACCTGTATTCATTTTTAATTGAAAAAAGAAAACGTAGGAGGTGAATCAGAAATTAACTGGTTTATTTTTCTTTCCAATTTTTCTCTTAATATTTCATCCTTCGCAGTTAATGCAGTTCCAGTATCTCTAAATTATGCCTTAGCAAAAAATGAAGATGAAAAAAATTTTTCGCAAGTTTTTTCTTTTTTTTTAATAATTTTAATAACACAAGTACTATTTTTCATGTCAGTTTTTATTAGTGATGCAAAAGTGATTGAGCATTTAAGATTGTTAAAATTTGAAAAATCTTTATCACGACTCAATATACAATCATTTGAGTCACTACCACTCAAAAATACCGAAGAAAGAAATCTGTAATAGATATTATCATTAATATTTATGCTACCTAATGATTCAAAAAAAAGTGGAAAAGCATAGTAAATATCATTAATAATTTTACAGAAATCTGAAGTAAATATTATATATAGAAAGAGTATTTCAATATAATCTTCAGTAATATCCACCACAATAGTCGTGTATTTTACAAAACTGTACACGATTTATTGTAAAATTATTGAAATACTCAGTGACTTTGAACATAATTAGATTGCTTTTGGAATATTAAGTGTGACAGGATTTTATCTGTCTACCACGATCATGGAAAGCAAGCATCAATAACTATCACTTTTCCCAAACAACATAAGTTGTGATTTAAATCATTTAGGTTTCAGCTAAATGTTTTTTAATGAAAAAAGGTGTTATTCTTATTCTAGCAACTGAATAAAAGAATATTGCTGCAAGCATAAATGAGATTAACACGAAATAATACGGGAAGCAGTAGCTAGAAGTTGCTCCAAATCAAGAGTTAGAAAAACATTGTTAAAAGTAATAAAAATTTATTCGAAAATATAACATTTTAAAGCAGCTTCAAAAAATTCCACATACAAACAATTTTCGATAAATGTAATTTACTTTTAATGAACATTCCCAATTTTTGAGCTCATGTCCCAAAATCCTTTACAAAATATTCATAATTAGAATTTTGTATAAAGAACTGAAAAAGTAACATATTCATCTCGCCTCATATCGCTTGCTGTAATATATTTTCCAGTTTTGCATAAATTGCTTCGTTGACTTTTGGTTTTGTTTCTCTGATCGCAGAATTGCTTATTTCATTTGATA